TATTATTTCCATTATTTCGATTATTTCGATTATTCAGATCCTGGGGTTCGGCGGCTTCGGCCCACCAAACCACAGGATTTTTGTTATTTCGATTATTTCAATTATTTGGGCCACCCCAAGAATCGAAATAATAGAAATAGTAGAAATCGGTGGGGTTTGTGGTTTAGCCATGAATACCACCGGTTTGAATGTTCGAAATAATCGAAATAATAGAAATAATAGAAATAATAGAAATTGGCCGATTTCTATTATTTCTATTATTTCGATTATTTCGATTATTCAAATCGTGGGGTTCGGCGGCTTCGACCCACCGAACCACAGGATTTCTATTATTTTGATTATTTCAATTTTTTCAATTATTTAAATAATTGTCGACCGGATTGGTGGGGGGGGGGGGCGCCCTCCACCCCTCCACCCCTCGCCCCTCCGCCTCCCACCCCTCCATCCCTCCACTTTCACTCCCCCCCCCCTCCCCTTACCCCACTTCCCCTCCCCACCTCCCTTCCCCTCCAGCGACGAGGCCCCGGCAGCACCGAAGAAGGAGGAGACGAAGCCGGAGGCACCAGCTGAGGGGAGCCAGAAAGAGTGCAGCACAGACAAGCCCGATGGTGCGGTCAAGCCTAAGGCAGCCTCTAAGAAGCCAGCCAGGCGGTCGAAGGAGGAGTATCCCTTTATTCCTCCGGGCGACCCGGCGCCAAACCATCGCGGCAAGGCTAACGCCCAAGGCGTTTTTTACCCGGGGTTTCCTAAGGAGGATCCCCGTTTTTGCGACGCATGTGAAGTGTTGAGGCGTGGGTTTATCCGAACGGGTAAGTCCCACAACCCCACATGCGCGTGGCGGTCTCGCGGATGAGCGGACGTGCCTATAGAAATGAGACTGCCATGCGTACAGCCTGCCTTTGCTTCTTGTCCTCCGCGTACTGAGAAGCCTGTTCCTTGGAGGTCCTGTCATATCCTGGCTTAGGAGTTCGCCCGTGTGACTCACTTGCACCTTATACAAGACAGGTTTCCTTTGGCATGTGGTCAGTGTACCAACGTCATCAACAGCATCCAAGAATGCTATGTATGCCCATAATGATCGTTATCCGTCTGAATGATCACATACTGTATCCACCGGCTTGCTTGTGATTCGGTCGATGCGTATCGTTGCAGATATTCGACATCTCAAGTATAGATACTGTTCACCAGGTCAAACTTACGAAAGGTAAAGAAATTCTGAAACGCGGGTAGTGTCTCAGGGGCGAACTATGATACAATATGCATGACTGATGTGTCTTCATCCGTGCATTCCAGCAGGTACATGCACTTCCATCGAGTGTGTGAATAGCCACTGTCATCGACTGTGGAGGACCGGTTGACGTTTGCATGCAGATGCAGTTCCGAACAAGTCCGTGGCAATGAGTCCATGACTGCGACTGATGTACAATGTCTGTGCTTGACCATGCACGCAGCTTCTTGCTTGAGCTTACCAGCATTCCTAGCTGTTTTCGCCTCTGCCGCTTTCATTGCCTTGGCAATGTCGCTGATTTTTGATCCCATAGGCCTGGGTGATCCATGCAAGATATGCGAGCCACGAATACTTGTATCCAATGAGTATTTGCATCGCCTACCGTCTTTGCAGGTCCGGCCGATGTGAGCCCAACTACGTTGGCTTTCGGCCGAGCTATGATCCTGCGAGCTGTCAATATCACGCAACTTCGATGTATCCCATGTCAGACGAATCATTTAAAGCATCACTATGCTTGTGAGTTTCACCGCACAGTATGATTTCCTCCTTAGCGTTCCGAGGTATTCTGACACCAAGATGCCGAGCGTCAAATCCTGGGAAGGCATCTTGAATCTGATTACGGGACAGCATCGTGTCTGTTCATTTAATGCAGCGATGATATGACTGAGTCCCGACCTGCATAAGCCCACCTACGGTGGCAAACAGTCCCATGACATTGTCCTCCAACAATGCTATCGGCGACTTGTCTTATGTCAACGTACACACAGATTTTATCGCAGGCACGTCGACTGTGCAGGAATGATATACGACTCTACTTTCATGCTGAATTCTGAGGCATCCATCCGTTGCGTACGCCCGATTCCACAACCGTATGGCAGCGATTACACCCGGCTCTCCATCTCCTGAACAGTACATTGCGTCGGAAGCATCACAAATCCCATGCCTTGGTTATGCAACCTGCGGCGGGGGGTCGGTGCAGGAAGAGGCCGATAGTATGTGAAACTGCTACTGAGCCCATTCGCTTCCGGATGGGAATAGGTCCTGCCTAGAACCCCACAGGCCTAGGCCTAGCCTATTACAGGCTGTTACAGGAGGCCAGATCATCTTCGCACCAACCGCACGAAGAATCGTCATCCCGGACAGAGCAAGAGACTTGTATGCAACACTGTTAAGGGTCTTGACTATCAACAATCCAGCTACTGTCGCGTGTGCAAGCTTCCTTCAGGAAGAAGACTGGGAACTACAACAACGTTGCTGAGGGCAAGAACTGCAGCGGTCCAGACCAGCAGGGATCTCAGTGACTCTATATCCTTGCTTTTTGTTAACACGCGTTCCATCAGATGATGTCCCAGGACAGTCGTGGATGAGGAGGATTCTGTCCTTCCAACGCAGCCCCCTGACTATGTTATGCGGTATGCCATTGCGGTATGCCATTGTCAGAGAGTCTCTGTCACATGCTGCTTCCGATCATAATCGAGGTCCCATCATGGGCAGAAGGAGATGTGCGGACACACGCATACCTTCCCGCACTTAAGTGAAGCGTATGCTGTTTATTTCGCAAATGACTGAGTTTCTTTATCTAGTTCCTTTAGTTTTAAGGCTGTACGTGAAGTATGAGCCCGACGAGTCAGTGAACCTGTCCGCTGCAATCACGGGAGATCTCTGGTGGGAAAGCCTCATGAATGCTATCCGTACTAGGGCGCTTCAGCGGCAATCAATGATAATGCTTCCATCATTAAATCACGATGTCAATGACTGACAGGCCCGCCGCCTGGAGTTGGAAGATACTCAAATGAGGTTAATGTGAGTGCATTTTTGTATTTCTGACCGCCTGCGTGTCTGTGCCGGAATTGACATCATAGACGGGATGCAGCGAACTTTACTATATCTCCGCTGTCCCCTAGGAGATGCATGACGATTACATCCGGTCCGAGCTGATGGATCATGCCGCCAGTCCAAGATGTTCCCAAGACGCATCCAGGATATAAGCACGTGAACTGACATCATGCACATATGTGAGATCCGCTTTTTCCAAGGGAAAGGCTTCTTGCACTGTCTTGCACATTGGCCGCAAGTCGTCTGACACTCCCTCGTGGTGTGACTTGGTCTTCGCAAGCACTCGTGATTTCAACTATATACCAGTATGTCCTCCTGTGCTTACACTGAGCTGAAGGCGATAACATCATCCTGCAGAATTGCACATTCCCCAGCACTGGGCAGATCACTTTGCCGCAGCCAGCAATCCGAAGGACGCCAGCATTATATTGTTGTTGTTCAGTCCATCCTTATGTACTCCCTTCACAGGACCAGGGGTCCACCACGTGTGAAGCAGCTGACCACAAAGAGTACGTCCAGGTGGGACCTGTCAGTACGTGAGAGTTCATGACGTGACGTCGTACATGCAACTGCACAGAAGGCAGCCCCATTGCATCGATCCCATCATCTGGAACTCATCGGGATCCTCTCTGCGACGGAATGTCGAGATTTCCATGTCGAAGCCGGTCACAGAAGGCGTCCCGTTTCCCAAGTCCGCTAAGAAGTAGAGCTCCTAATTCAAGCATGACGGAACAATCGCCATATGTTGGCGACGCTGTGGATGGGATGTGTCGCAAATAAGTGATGTTATGCACATCGTTCTGTAATCCCTGATGAGGTCGAATGTGTGAAGTATGCCTAGGGCCTAGTGGACGCCTTCCGATCTCTGGGACTGAAGGTTACATATGAGAGGGACGGCCGCTTCTACGCCATCGCTGATGACCGTCGAATCCTATCCAGTATCGGGCTGCTAGACTACATAAAGACAAATCCACACGATCACATGATGACCACCTCACAACCGTACCATAATTGTCGCAGGTACACTATCGACGTGGTGGAAGACTCGCAAATACGTGAGCCTGGTCTCTACATTCTATTTGCTGCCGGACATTTCACGGCGCTGCGGGTTTTGAGTTCCGATTGTTGCCTGATCGGCCTCAGTCACCGCTGCCACGAACATATAGACACTCATCCTTCCCAATGCGACCTCACACAGTTCGAAGCGGTGATGAGAGTTACTTCTGGTACGTCCACAGGGTCTTGTGGCAGAGATTTCCTCGGTGGTGCAGTGTCTCAACAGCATACTTTGCATTGATCGAGACTATTCCGTTCTCGTATACATGTAGCAACATTCATATGCATGCGACCCTCTCATGCTCAGCTGGGAGCCTCTGCAATGCAGGCGTCATCTCCGATGGACGTGAACGAACTCGCAGACGAAGGTCCACCGAATTGTCTGATCGATTGAGTGGCATCGTTGTGTAGTCATGGATTCTAGCCTGCTCTGTATACCACCACAGAGAAATTGGTGTCAGGTGCGGAAGCCAACGCCATAGGCGAGGGAGCGTCCATGGATGTGGGCGGAGCTGTCTTGAACGAGAGTAGCCTGGCCTTCCATATTTGTACTGTCTCATTCGTCTCCTAATGCAACATACTTGATGTAATTGCACATAACGATTCGGTGAGGTGGATGGTCTGCTGGTCTGGAAACCGTGGTCGGTTCCGTCCTGCTAGAACCTCCTCGGGATCCTGTATTCGAGGTGCCTCCAGAACATGGGAAAGAAAGCACTTCAGGCCTGTTCCCGTGAACAGTGGACATAGCTATCGGTAAACAAATCCAGGTACAGAAGTATATCTACATCACATATAAGTCATCGATGACCAAACATCGAGTTGTGCAGGAGTTCGGCAGAGACAGGTACCGGATTAACACGCAGGATGATGCAAGCATCATGTATGCATGTTGGATGATGCATCACTACTCCAGTGTGTCTGGAAATTCGACATTGATCTGTTATATCATACCGTGTATATACTTGCTTGACTGTCATTATATCGATGCTTATCATACAGGATATTCCACTTCGCAAGTATGAATGGCATTCTCCACATCAAAATTCGACTCCATACAAGCCATTGCTGACATACCAAGTTCGAACGGAGTTGTGCAGGAGTTCGGCAATGACAAGCATCGGAGTAACATGCTGCATGATGCAGGCATCATGTATGCAGGCTTGATGATGCATCACTCTTCCAGTCTGTCTGGAAATCCGACGTTGATCTGTTATATCGCACCGCGTACCGACTTCGTAATTAGATCGATGCTTATCGTACGAAATATTCCATTCCTAAAGTATAGATGGTATTCTCCGCACGAAAATTCTGAAGGGCGTGTAAATTCTATAAAAGAAATATATCACAGTGGTCTGAAACTTTTCGGGTTAAGGTTTTGTGCCATGTGCTATGTGTTGGTGTTACATTTAGCTAGGCATTTAGTATTGAAGATATAAATCCATGGTTAAATAGACCCTAAAGGTATCGGGCACATATATATATATATATATTTATATGGTCAGGCATCTGGCGTTCCCAGCCCCCCCTTCCCCAATGGTATGGTCTGGCAGGGGTGGGGGGGCCTGGCGTGTGCGGAGCTGTCGAGGCGGTTTGGTGGGGTGCTGCTGTCGGGCGGCCACGGGTCACAGAGAGGGCCGGGATCCTACGCAAGCAAGCCATGAATTGTTCCTGATTTTTATTCACCTTAACCTGTACTTCATACTTTAAACCTTACACCCCACCCGAAATCGCGCCTAAATGCAGGCTCTAAGCCTAAGCTTGAAGCAGAACAGAAACCGTCACCCTAACCAACCTACACCCCAAACCCTCCCTAAGCTCTTGTCGACTCGAAGCCTTACTTTATCCATAAGCCCTAAACCCCAAACTCAAGAGCTTAAGCTAGACCCTAAACCCCAAACCCCCACAACCACGCCACGGGGAAGAGGGACCCCACACCCCGCCCACAGGGGGGGGAGCATCCTGGACCATGGCCCATGGTGGGGGGGGGGGCTGGGGCCACGGAGCGCATGTGTGTGTGTGTTTGTGTGTAGGTGTATGTGTGTATATAGGATCGCCTTAAACTTTTTGGCCTTACACGTTTGGTCAATCAATGTTAGAAAGTTTGAACTTCCTTGGGCCCAGCTTTTGAAGATGAAATTACGCATACATATTCACATCTATTCATCTATGTGTGTGTGTGTGTACGTGTGCATGCATGCATCTCCCTTTTGAAGCTCAGGTGTTGAAAGGCTTCCACCTCCAGGTGTCTGCCGGTCGCAAGGCGGGGTTAGCGGTTATCGCTTACATAAGGGAGCCCTGACCGTATCCTTTGTACCCGCAATCCTGAATGCCGAAAGAGCCTTGGTAGATCGTCGTAGGTGCACCCACGCAGCCAGCAAAATGCTCGGTCAGGTCAGCCTCGTTGGCCGCACAGGAAGCGGCAAGTCCAGTCTCCTTGGCGCTCTGCTCCGGGCTTACAGAAGTCTGCTTGACAATCTTATCCATCCTCTCTACCTTCCCCGCTCCCTCCCTCAATCCATGAGATGCCATGATCTCGCTGACTGCCGACAGTGCTTCGTGGGCCCAGGCTGAGAGTGGTAAACCTCGATGCAGGGCGCATTTGCATCGATGGTGCCTGGCTTCAGTTCTTCTTCGGGGTTGCCACATCAAGTTCAGCCCAGTCGTCTGCTGCACGATGCCGTTGTCAACACCGGCATTACTCTGCGATTTTCCGTGCTGCATTAGCTCAGGTGTGGATATTGCCAATGTGCCTCTACAAGCACTTCGCACTGCCGTGTCCCTGATCCCCCAGGCCAGTATGTTCCGTGCATGCTCGCAAGCCGAGTCGTTGTTTAACTTTGTTGAAGCGCTTAGAAACTATGGCTTTTCTTCGTTTTGTGTGAGCCTGCGAAGCAACACTTGCAGCTCAACACCCATGAGGAGCCAGTGCTGTGGAGTGGGACGGTGGCAGAGAATCTGGATCCCACAAAGCAACTTTCAGAGAAACGCCTCCTCGAGGCGTTGTCGAAGGCCGCTCTTGGCATATATTGGGGCGTTTTGGGATGTTATTCAGTTGTTCTACTTGGCTTGTGTGGTCGTGTCGGCGCCGAAATGCCACGACATCTGGGATTTATCCAGATTTCGGCTTGTGTCAATTACCTGTTTTTTTTCATGGTCTCTCCACGGCATGCCTCAGTCTTCCTTCATGATCTCGGAATGGTAGTTTCAAGTTGTGATTATTCGGACCTTTCTGTTCCAGGGTTCTTTACCACGCTCCTGCTCGCAATGGTTTCTTCAGGTTCATTTCGATGCAAAGCTCAACGGACTCGGTGGCCTTGCAACGCGCGTGGAGAGGCAGAAGGGGCCGGCACCGAGATCTGGGAGACCCCGACCCCTCTTCGTACCCCTTCACTTTTGAGCTATTTTTAAGACGCTGGAACTCTGATGCAAGCTACCATTGTCACCGCAGCTCGCTGTCTGCTGGCGCGAGGGTATGTATGCTAGACTGCATTCTGTGCGGGGATTCGGAAGGAGTGGTGGCAACTTCAGTTTGGGGCAACGGCAGCTGTGGCTTGGCACGACGAAAGCAATAGCATTTTCTTTTCCATGTTCTGACTGAGAACAAGTCTGCGGGCCCTGTCCAACGTTGGTGCTGGCTCGACTTGTTTGGCTTGGCCAGTTTTTGCTACACGTAGAAAAAAACAGTCTAGTCGACTTAGCACACGCCAACCCCGAAGGCTCTGCATCGCGAGATGCATTGCGAGGAGCAGTCGGGTCGTGCTGGTGGATGAGGCGACATCCTGTGTCGACGGCGAAACGGACGCGCTGATTCAGGATGCCCTGCGCACCCAGTTCCAACATTCTACTATGCTGGTCGTGGCGCATCGGCTCCAGACGATCATGGATGCAGACCTTATTGCGGTGTTGGATGCAGGATGCGTGGTTGAAACAGGCTCAGAGTCAAAGAACCCTTGTAACTTCCTGGCAGGTCGTTGAAAATACATTATGCACATCAGCGAGCTTCATCGAGTCGAGGGCAGTGAGGGTGTTCCCAGATTCGAACCGCTAGCCCGCAGGCCATCCAGCCGCACTCTGCGCCGACCCCACGTCGCGCTTTTCGCAGATGGCTGCGCGGGCACCGGTGGAGGCAGATCATTGCTTGAGTTGAAGTACAACTCTGAGGGCACAAGACATCTCAGGATGCGAGTTTGTGGCTTATCATCCAAGGTTTCTCTTCAGGGCTGTGCAATCTTTGTCGCATGGATGCCTCTCCGCTCCGGTAGCTGGTGAGGTCATCTGGTGACGTAGAGCCGACGTAGGGCTCGCGGTTGGAAGATCTGAGCCCTTGGCCCTAGGGGGATGCATTCCATGTCGATGCTTCCGTGCCAGGTTGGCGGCGAGCAGGGCCACAAAGCCACCATGCTGAGCTTATAGCAGCTTCAATCCCAAGGTCCTCTTATTGATGCAAGGCCCCGTACCTAGCACCCTCCCCGGTGCTCGACTGTGAAGTTCCAGCCGGCGCTGGCTCCACGAAACGCTTACCACATCAGGAGCTCATCAGGAGCCCTCGTGCACCACCGGGACGAGCGATCTCCCGAAGAATTGTACGGCGGTCCCTTGCAGTATAGGCCCTTGCGGGCGACAAACGCAGTCCCAGCTGCACCCTACCCTGTCTGTTCAAGTCTGACAGCAGTAGTAAAGCGCACTTGCTGCCTGGGGGCCCAAGACGGGTTGCCTCTAGCCCTAGGCAGGGCGTGCTTTAATTTTCAGAGTCTGTGCAGACGGAGCCAACTTGTTTTCCTTTGGCTTGGTCGGCAACATGAGTTTGCATGAACGAAGATGCAGAAAGCGTCCAGGTGGATGTCCACCGATGGCATTCGAGTCATTGGAGATTGATTCAGCCACCAACCCTTCGACGCGGTGCTTGATGTCCATCTGCATGCGCAGGTCCATTAACGCACCTCTGTACACGGTCACGGGCAATTGGGCTACAAATGGGCTCAGTGCACGCCCCGATCTCCGAATAATTGTACGGCGGTCCCTTGCAGTATAGGCCCTTGCGGGCGACAAACGCAGTCCCAGCTGCACCCTACTCTGTCTGTTCAAGTCTGACAGCAGTGGTAAAGCGCACTTGCTGCCTGGGGGCCCAAGACGGGTTGCCTCTAGGCCCTAGGCAGGGCGTGCTTTAATTTTCAGAGTCTGTGCAGACGGAGCCAACCTGTTTTCCTTTGGCTTGGTCAGCAACATGAGTTTGCGTGAACGAAGATGTAGAAGTCATCCAGGTGGATGTCCACCGATGGCACTCGAGTCATTGGAGATTGATTCAGCCACCAACCTTTCGACGCGGTGCTTGATGTCCATCTGGATGCGTAGGTCCGTTAACGCACCTCTGTACAAGGTCACGGGCAATTGGGCTACAAATGGGCTCAGTGCACGCCCTGCCGAGTGAAGCTTTTGCGCTTCAAAAGGGACACCCCGGCTCTTCTTGTCACATTTTGGCTGGCGACGGCGAACGACAGTCAAAAGAGTCCTCACTCGCAGCCGCTTTTGCCCCTGAAGCCGCAGCATGCTCCAATCTTAGCCCACCCTGAAGATGTCCTAGACCACAATGAATGATCCCACCCATCCGGGTCACATATCATGCACGGCTGTGGCGGCGCGGCAAGCCACGCGTCTAACATGGTGATGTTGTCTGCAGTCACGACGCTATATACCGTCCCCAATGCACAGCTGTCTTTGTACTGTATTCGTCAGGGTTGGCTAAACTGATGTTGGTAAATGGAGAGCACACTTATGAGTCGGTAAAATTCGCACAGCTTCGCAGCTGTGCCATGGATGATGAGCTTTTGGCCACATGGGCCCGCTTATTGCCGGAGGAGATGGGCTGCACTGGAATGAGTATAATGAGTCAGGGCCGGCGAGCTGCCCCACTGCACAGAACGAGATGTGGAAATGTGACCCATAGGAGCGGGGCAAACTCCTCCGGCTCGAGGATCCAGCGACTGGCCGGCACTAAAGCCTGCAGAAATTTGTGTAAGCATCCTCAACTGCATGATTCTAGTTGGACAGATGTTGTGAGGCCCAGGCCAAGACCATTTGAACCAAGTGCTGCCTGCAAGGAATGTGTTCGCTTAATTGCCCGGACCTCGTCTGTACGCTGGCTTAGCCCCGATACAAGCTGTTCCTGTCGATGATTTCGTACACCAAGGATGTTGGCATGCGAATGTTATGGACGGCTGAGCTGCAAGCGCGGCAGTTCGGCGTCCGTGGGTCCACGGACCCCTTAGACAATGCCCAGCTGCCCCTGCTGGCCACCATGCAATTTGACGGCTTCACAAACCAAGGCCCGGCCCCAGGCTTTGTCAAACTACGCAAAAATGGCGTCTTGCGAGGCGAGAAGGTCTTCAAGCTGGTAAAGTGGCCGAAGGACTCGCGGGAAGTCCCAACCAACACTGCAACTGTCGAGCAGTGCGGGGCTGCCATGTTGTGTGGCCGCTGTCGTTGGAGCTGCAAGTTGTCACAGCTGGCGATGCCTTTCAGGAGGTATAGGCGAGTGTAGTGTGTTTTGCGGTTCTGCACGTCAGAGTGCACCCCATCATGTGGCTCTACAGAAGAAGGGGGTGTTCCTTCAAAGTCTCCTCATATATTGCATGGAAAGACAACGACAATTGCTCCGAAAGGAGGCACAAGAGTGAGTAGCGCGGCTCGAGAGGGACAAATCTTTGACACAAGCGACTTGAGATCTTCCTGCTCCATGCGGTTAGAGGAGCTGATGACAATGCAAATGCAAGTTCCTGTGAAGGAGTACCACGAGGACCCCATGGTCCTTGCGAGTGCACTGAGGCTCTCATTGCAGGTGCGCCTCGTTTTGACATGAGGCAGCATGGTTGGAATTCTCGGTGCAGAATAGAATCCCTTTGTCAAATCCTGTTGCGTGAGCTACTACCTTGGCCTACGCAATCAGCATTGACCGCAGATTGTGGGCCCGAATGTCTCCCTTTTTTGAACCCGCAGCCGCGAAAGGCCGGGGCGGGCAACAAGCGGCGCCAGCCCGCGGCAATCAAGCCGAGCAGGCCCGGGACGCACTGTCTTGCTTAAGCTTGCGATCGTGAGGGCTGAGGGGCAGTGTAGTACGGTAGTAGACTAAAGTAGTTTCGTGCTGGTTTGAGGACGCAGCCGTAACAAAGCCAGTCGGACTGACCCAACCTCTAAGCCAAGTCCGGCAGAACTATCACCCCCTGTTCACCTAACTGACGCCTTCCCAGAAGGCCAGGGAGGGCGCGACCAGATGCCAAACTACAAACTACCACATGCTACACGCTGCTACGCCGCTGCACACTGCATCTCTCATTGATGTGGAGTACTTGGCCGACGCCTGCACCGAACTTGCAGGTGGTACCAGCTCCTCTCCCCTCCAGCACAGTCTTGGGCTGGCTTCGAGATCCAACTCGCACAGTCGCTCTGCCTGTGTTTGGGCCGCGGGGGTGAGGGTTGGGCTTTGTGAGGGTCGTCTTGAGCTTCTGCAACGGGAGGGAGTTGGAGCCAAAGGTGCCGGGCGGCGATGAAGTTGGGAGTGTCTCCGCCCTGGGAAGGCTCGTGGAGCAGCTCATCCTCCGTGCTCGAGAGGCCCCCCGAGTGCTCTGGGCTGTCTCCAAGAAACCCCTAAAGTTCACTGAAGGTCTGAGTCTGAAGCAATCGTTGTTGGCGAGGCCGCGGAGGCCCCTTCCGTGGCCCTGCCCGAGGGGCGAGAGGAGGTCCGGGCCCCTGTGGGAAAGTAGGGGAAAAGCAGGCTCTGCCCAGCGCGCATGCTCCGACCTGACGCTGTCCGTGTTGTCAGAGTAAGCCTTAGAGGTGTGGGCATCTTGGGATGCCCAGAAGACAACCTGCGATGCCGCATGGGCCCCAGCACGGCTGAGCTGGAGTGTTATTCCGGCTGATGGTCATGGCGGCTTAGCAGCAGCTGCTACTTCTGCTGCTGCTGCTGCCGCCACTGGTTGGGATTTCGGTCCTGCAGTTGTCCAAGGGAGCTGGGTTCTTGCGGCCGGACATGTGCGCAGCAACAGTCCATGATTGCACTGTGATCTCTGTTAGGTCTCCGTGGCGCAGGCTCATCAATCGGACCTGAGGCACCGACCCATTATCTCTTGTGGCGAGATCGCGCCTGGATGCAGGAACACAAGCCCGGGCTGAACAGCGGGCACATGGACTAAACAACAAGTGGCCCACCGATGGCTCAAAAGTTCTCGAAGAACCTGTGAGTAGCAATGGCTCCTTCGGACCCCGTCGGAACTTGGCAGGATGACAAAGGGACCGAGTACAAGGTCTCTCGTGATGGGCCGGCGAGATGGACTGTGGAAACTTGCCGTCCAGACGGCCGGCGGCGTGTAACAAAAGGTTTGCTAAAAATGTGGGAGGGTGCGGTTTATTGGGGATCGTCCTACTACTTGGACGATTGCCACAAGCATTGGCTCACCTGGAAGCCGCTGAAGGAAGGAAAATCCGAGTACCACTGGCACGCAGTAGCCGAGCAGAAGACGCGCGAGAAGCACTTTGCTGTGAAGGAGCCTCGTGACAAGGATGCTGGCAGTCCCAAGGATCGCCAGGTCACAACACAGACCAAGGATATGGCATCGCAGACCGAATCCCTTCGGCCAGCAGTGGAGATGATTGTGCGCATCACCGGCAAGTGGAAGGATGAGAGTGGCAGCCGCTACGAAGTGGTACCAGACTCTGACTCCACATGCACAGTGGTGACCACACGTCCGACCGGGAGAGTTCTCCGAACAGAGGGGCTAATCCAGTACAACGCAGAGGAGTGCTGTATCTACTGGGGGAGCAAGTTTCGCCTAGAGCTGAAGGATAGCCAGAGCTGCGTCTGGGTTCCCCTGCGCAGTGGCAAGTCCTTCTGCTGGGAGGCCGACAGTCCCCGACCGGTGGTGATGCACACGAGCACTTTGCCAACAGCACGGAACATAGTGGAGGCATCTGCCCAGTTGCAAGACCTCCTAGGCATCTCAAAATCTTCTGGGAACAGCCGCGGTGCCCTCCAGAAGCGGATCTACAACCGCCCGCTGATTTCGAGGAACTCGACTTGTAGCTCCTGAACTTGCGGAGGGTGGTGATCGAAGAGCGGATGGGCACGTGGCTTCGAATTCGGGCCCGATGCCGGTCTTCTATCAGCATCGGAGCCACTACTCTTCCAATCTTCGTGAATCTCGATTGATTTCAATGTGCTATTGAAAATGTCAACGTTCCTCCCGCTGCACGGAGAACGTGGTGCAGTGAGATTTCAGTGGTCGTGAGGAGTCGACCGGGCAGTGATGGCCCAATGATGGCGCACTGCCATGTTAGTATTATCTATCTGGAAGTTACCTCTTCACTCTTAATTCCTTCTATGGTTGCAAGTCATGTCATGAAGTTCAACAGTACGCCATGACATACCATACCATATCACAAGATGGGGACAAGCTCTGAAGACGTTTGCAGGTTCCATGCCTGGCTCAGCTAACGATGTTTCACTGAGGCTGCCGGCTTTCTCAAGTCCTGGCCGCCACGCCTGGGTTCTCAGACACAGTGGCGCACGCAAGGAAAAAAGTTGCAGTGAGCTGCTCATGCCATGGGAAGCCGAAGATTGAGTGTGCAGCTTGGCAGGTCCACGGAGGAGGCAGAGGAGGCAGAGGAGAAGGAGGAGCCAGAGCCAGAGTGACCTAGTGAAACCTCTCTTGCTCGTCTTTCGGAAGCTCCAAGGCAGGGCCAATCTGGCGGTGCCCGCGCCGCGAAGCGGGCGCGCCAGCGGGAACGGCGGAAGCTGGGAAAGGCAGGGCCCGACTTGGCCAAGAGCAGCGGTGCGTGGCTCCAGGGTTGCAGTTGCTGTCGCCGCCCTTCGGCTCTGAAGCTGGTGTTAGAGGACCCGGATAGACTTGAATCGAACCTCTGCCTGTTGCTCTCCTTTTGTCGAGTTGCTCAGTTAGGGATGTTGACCTAGCTGTGGGCCTGCAGCGATGGCTGCATGCTGGTGCTGGTCTCAGAAGCTCAGAATATCTCAGTAACTCAGCGAAACGCAGAAGTGAGATGAAGTGAGGGCTGCCGAGGCCTTAACTGCCTTAACTTCCCCTAGCGAGGTCCGAGGCTGCTGGCTGGCCGCGATTGTGGCGAGCGCCGGGGCTGACGCGTCAGCCGGGATCTAGGACCTTGCGCAGCCGCGGGGTGATGAGAAAGGGGATCCGATCCTCGGGCCCGCTGAGGCGAACGCGGAGGACCTCGAATTCTCGGAGGTGCTCCAGGAGGCCAACAAGCTGATCTGAGATTGGAACGCTTCCAAATTAGATTAAATGTTCAGAGCCACAGAGTTCCTCAGGTTGCGAAGCGGCCACCGGCCCTGGCTAATGTTCGACGAGCTGCGAGAAGACATGATGCAGTGCAAGAGCAGGCGGGCACGTGCTGGCTTACAAAGACTCTACGGGGGTCCTTGTGCAGAACGAAGTTGATGTGCCGGGTCACATGCGTTTCAATCTTCAGAGAGCGGCCGAGACTGAATCGAGCAAGGGCAGTCTGCCCAATCCAGGCTGAGCCTCTCGCACAGATAGAGACCCAGCCCGTTCTGAAGCTTTGGTGCAGTGCGACCTGCTGCGGGTTCCGGCGCAGCGCTTCCGCTCCTGGGCTGAGGCTTCGTGTGGGACGGGGTATGCTGCAACTTGATGGAAGAGCGAAAGAAGTGTTGCTAGTCAGTTTCGCCAAAAGCAAGCGGACATCAGGACATCTAGACCCCAAGGCTCTGTGCAAAGCCCTCTTCTAGCCTTTCTTCGTTATTTTGGTTGTGGGGATTGTTGGGGTTCAGGATGAAGTGGATCCGCAGATGTGGTACTCGGACTTTGGCCTTGCACGCTGTTGAACCAGCAACTGCTCGATTTCTCGTGAATCCAGTGCTGCAGTGCGGTGCCCGCATTTGCCTAGGGCCTAGTGCACATGATTTACTCGAGACCCTTGTCAGGGGTTCGCGAAGCAAATCGCCACCAAACAGAAAAAAGCACAGGTGGCTGCATCCTTGAAGCGGCACGAAAGGCCTGTGATCATCAGTGGCCTCTCCAGCCGCCTGGCCAGGAGTGGCATCGAAGTCCTCTTCTTTCGTCACTGCTGTACTCGTGCCGTCCAACTGCAAGGCCTACCAGTGCTGAACCTGGACGAGCACGTTGACGAGGTCAGTGTGGACATGTGCAGGGGTCTGAGCTGTAAAGGATCTCTCCCTTAAGTTAAGCATTTTGGAAGTTGTGCTGGCCGTGCAATATCACATGTCGAGTGGCAAGCATTGCTTGTAGTGTGCTCCCAGTGCTCCCTGCCACAACGCCTACTAGCACGCCTGCAATTATGACTGGCTGTAGAGACGGGGGCCTGAGCTTTCTGAAGGCAGCCTCGGGAGCAGTGTTGTTCTAAGTCTGAGATTCGTCGACAGCTGCACAAGTCTCCGAGACTTCCATCACTAGTGTCTCGCACCAGGACTATCCCATCAACAACGGTCAATTTGGACCCGGGAAGGCGGGCCTTAGAGATGGACGAACGGTGTGACTATTGCCGATTCAGGAGTAGGGTAGAGTGACAGGCTATGCGCAGCATCCCTCTGGAGCGTCCGAGCCTTAAACACAAAAAGAAGGCTTGTCTAAAGCTGAAGTGTCGACGTTAGCAAGGATGCCGGCCTGCGTCGTTTGTGGCCGTCCGTTAGATTCTCAACCATGAGACTGTACGAACTCTATTCCTCCTGTCATGCCAGTGGAACGTGTGAGCAGCACTCGCCTCCAGCCTTTACTGCAGCGCGGCGCGTGCAAGTCCGTGCAAGTGTTGTAAAATTGGAGCTTGATGGCCGACAGCTAATAGCAAGTCCAAGCCGAGCAATGATATGCCAGCAAATTGCGCAGGAAACCATTACGATGCAACTCACTGTACAAGCAGCCCAATCGTTTGGGTGCGAAATGCCTGTGCCAAGCTGACAGCGTAATGTCGTGCTGTGTCGTTCTTGATTTTTAATCTTCTGTATGCATGTCTTGCATTGCTTTCCGAGGATATTTACGAGGGAATGCCTCCAGTTTCCACATCTTCGCGATTAACAGGACCGTTGGGTATTCGTGATGTGTTGCGAATCGGCACAGTTTCCTTCGCACGTTGCTAGAATGCTATCAATGACCGACAAATGCCCGATATGGTCCCATGCTGGTTCGTAGCAGTGCAGGCCACAGCACGGCCTGCACCTGGAACCGTTCTTGCTCGATCAGGCTTCGGAAGTTGGCTTTGCATCGACGGGTGCCGAGCATTGTTAAATCCCTGACAAGGTAATCCTGCCGAGTTTAGAGCTGATGCTCTCTTAACAGAGCGGGACCCCCCCCGACCACAGGCCCGCGCTCGTGCCGCGGCAGCGGTGGGCGAGGGGCTGGCCGATCTCGCTGCGCGCTGGGTTTTCTCCCTCGGATTGCAGGCGACAGTTGCTTGATTCGCTTCCTTTCCTGTTTGCGGCCGACTCTGGCAGACGAGAGGCTTCCAGCGTGAACCGGCATTCACATGAAGCCGCGCCCCGAGCGAAATTGCAGCTTCCCAGAGAAGTGAAGCACTGCAGAAATCAATGTAGAGTTTAGCGAGCTGTTTTAGCGTTGGACTCCGGTTCTGATTCTGAGTCTATGAAGATGAGGGCCATCTTCGCCTTTGTACCGAGCCCTGAGGAGTCCTGGCTGATCCTTTTCCGTGGTCGGCTAGGTCCCAAGCAGAAAGGCCTGCGTTCGTCTAGGGTTCACCAGAATCTGAGCGGCAGCAACCTTAAGGGACGGCAGGCATATCAGCCATTGCTATACGGTAGCATGTCATGTAGCTGTCTATGTACGCTCGTTTTGCCGTCTTTGGCCGATCAAAGGAAAGCCTGGTGGATCGGCTCGGCCTGACGCCCGGTCTTACGCCATGGAGCCCGGTCGGTCATTCCATCAAGGCTGCAGGATAAGAAGAGACTTTGAGGAGTCACTGGTAGGGTCATTTTGAAGCCTCCAAGGGCACGGACAGCTTCCGCGGATGGGAGGCCGGGGCCGGTCGGGTTGGAGGGCCCAGCTGCTCGCGTGCCCTGTGCGGCGCAGGATCCCTGCGGCGCGCTGGGCACAGCGCCACCTCCAGGCGTTGAATTCTGCGTGGCTCGGCCTGGAGAGCAGTTTCAGCCGACTTGTGCATTCATTCCCTCAGTCAGCGTGATTCCAACGACCGACAATCATGTGGTTGCGAGATGCCATGGATGGCCTGACCCAGAGTCAACGTAGGACCGGACATGCTTCAGTGTGGACAAGACCTGTGGGCTGCTGTACTCGCGCCGGGTTGGGAGGGTTACGATCTTTGAATAGTCCCGAGTCTTGCGACTTCATCGGCCTGGAGCCCTCAAGCTTCAACAGTACCTGAGGTGCAGCGGCCCGGTGAGGCGGGAAATCATGTGAGCTCATGTCTTGGTCATCACATGGAGCTCCGCAACTTCACCGGCAAACCCCGGCCTTTCCTCCATTGCCTGACGAACAGCCGCCACTCCCTTGATGTCACGTTCGGAGTTCAGGTCGTGTACATCGGTACACATGTAGATCACGCGACTTGCAACATGGACCCCCTGGTCCTTGGTGCCGGGTGGCCCAGATTTGCAGGATTGCCGCCGTTAAGTGGCCATGTGCTGTAGCGCCCTGAAGAGCACCCTGACAATTCAGAAGTTTGGCGGATGGGCCCCAGGAGCCCACTATTCTAATAGAGAAGGGGGATTCAAACCGAACTCATACCCTAAGCCCTCAACCCTAAACCCCAAAGTCTAAAGTTTAAAAGAAGAAATGGGCATTTGTCAGCTTCAGGTTGGCGGCCAAGGCTCTCGGGCCGCAGGGACCTCGGAATCCGGCTGCCTCTGCAACACTTCGCAGAATAGCATCAGTTGCTGTAACTGAGAAACATGGGTAGCTCTGTAGATTAGGGTCCCTTGTTTAGGTCCCCAGTATAGTGCGAAACCGTTTCAAGAAGGACCCTAAAAGGGACACTAATGTAGGGAACTAACAATATGTCAGAGCGTGAAGAATCTATTTGGACATAGTTTTGAGACAGTATAGTAGTGATCGTATGCCCAGCAGCATGTGATCTGCACAGCCAAAGGATTGGCCTCCGGTCGTCAAAGCTGTGCAAGACGGCGATGTCGAAGCTAGAAGCCTAGATCAGGGCTCTTGGCCTCATCTTTGGAGTTCTGTACATTTCCGTGGAGGCTTAGGAGGAGAATCAGAGTCCGACCAGTGAGGGGGTCCGAGACTGAAGGAGTCGTGAGATCAGATTAGGCCCTTCAGAAGCTACTTCCTGTCGGTGATCTTCGAGCAGCTCTTCGCGCACGCACGTCGCAACTGGGACAGCAGATGGAAGACGGCATTACCTTCATGTGTGAACGTCAAACGCGCTGTTTCTGCGAGTTGCTGACACCCGGAGACCTTGTAAAAGGAAGAGCTCCCTGCGACTGAGGCGAGGGCACTCGGCTCTCCACGTGGCGGCTGCCTTCGGCCGTGACAGCTCCGTTGCGGAGCTCTTAGCCTGGACCTCGCGTTGACTGGTTATTGCTTAATGATTCACGTGCTTTCCGTCGAGCTGGGCTGATGACAGTGGTGTTCTACAGGCATCACACCTCCGTGGTTCATGTTAGATCCCAGCGTCATGGCTCGATTTGGTTCGGAGGTGAGCGGGTCTTTCGTCTCTCTCTCTCTCTCTGTCTCTATCTTCGTCATTCTTTCTCTTTAGTCTTTCGTCCTCTTTATGAGGCCCCTCTTTCTGGGTCTTTGTCTTCTCTCTACACTACTGGCTTGAATCGGATGCGATCATGCCCCCAGTGCCAAGCCCAACATTCTAGAATAGTTTCTCAAAAGGGCCACTTCACTTGATAGCGGCCGTGATCGTTTGTGGTACTACGCAGCTTTGGACATTTCTGAAGGCAACGGAGGGCCTCGACTTGCCTTGAACTGATTTCACAGTCCATCGCCGCGAATGTCAGCCTCCGTGGTTCCCGAATACCCGGTAGAATCCAAAACCTCAATGCAAAGGCGAGGCGAGCAAATATCAAGCACAGAGATGCAGCAGGCAGGGTGCAGCTCGTGTTGGTAATGTCTGACTTCGGAGGTTCGGGAGAATCCGGTACTCGGGAGGTGCTGATGCCTAGCTCTCGGCGACCCTTACCTCGCCAAACAACCCGAAAAACATTTTTGCCGCTTGTGTCCAGAGCAGAGATCCCGGAGTGCCTAAAGCCTATGCCTGAACGCAGGGCTGACGGCGCTCCACGCTGCTTCGGACGCTGGCCACCTGGGGGCGGCTAGGCTGCTGCTCCGTAGCCGTGTCAGGCGCTTGGAAAAGACGGCCCAAGGCCTCCTGCGCTGAGTGCAACTAACCCCAGGCTGATGCTCTTGCGCGCGATCGGCAGGGCAAGCAGTGAAGCCGGCTGTCATTGTGTCGCTCTGCGATCTGAATCTGAAGCTGTAGGAAAGTGACTTGCGCCAGGCCCCTCCACAAAGCGGCAGCTGCAGGTCACGCCGCCACTCGGCAAGGGACACTCCGAAGGATCCAGCGGAGCGTCCCAGCTGCGCTTGAAAGCTGCCAGGCATTGGTCTCCCTGCTTCTTTCGCATGCCAACGTCACGGCTTCCTCAAGGTCGCAGGCGTAGAGGGTGCGGGTGGGTAAGTGGGTGCGTTCACAAACAATCCACATAGGGCCGCAGTTTAATCGTGTTTACCACTGTGTTGACTCGGAGGCTCTCGGGGTTCGGCGAGCAACTTTCAGCTTCAGCAGCCGCGTTCAAAAATGTGAGCTTCATTCAGTTCAGAATTTAAAGTATGCTGACATGCTGTGAGACATCAGCGTCAGCGCCGTTGTAGTTTTTACTGCCGTTTGTACTCATGCCGCTGTTGCACTTATGGCTCTCGACTGTCGTGTCATTTTGCCGCTATGCCCTTGCACCATGAATCACTCACATCAACTTATGCAACCAATGTGCTATTCTATTCCCCTCTATGTCCCTATATTCCTGTTTCACTTTGCAGCTATATTATTCCACAGCTCTATACTGCCATGAAGCTGGTTCCTGAAATCCACTGCCTGGGCAGGAGCAGCCTCTACACGTTGGGGCGGGACACTGCAGGCGCAGTGTGAGTGTGACATCAGCCTTTTCCGTGGGTCCAGGCCGTAGAGGCTTGGTGCAAGGAAGTTACGTCGGCACTGAATGGCAAGATAGGGCGAGGACTCTACTTGCTTTGATGTGTTTGTTTCTTCTTTGTTCTGGAGGGTCGTGCAGCTGCTCCTCCATGCACGGGCGGATTCGTCCGCAAGGGACAGGGAAGGCGTGCAGCCGCTGCATTGGGCCGGGAGCCTCAGGGATGCTCTGAAGGTGTCGACAGTCGTGTTGGGTTTCAATATCGAGGCCTCGTAGTCCTGATGACAAGCCCGCATGTGAACTACACCAATCCCCATCAAAATCATGATCGTTTGCTATCCTGGTGAAGTTCTTGTTGTTCTTACTCGTCGTCTTCCTTTCGCCGTCGCCATCAGCATCACCGCAATCCACTGCAACTGTCTTGCATGCGAGCACTGCTGCAATCTGCTGCAATACTCACGCCTTGGCGACGACGATGATGGATTGGAAGTGCAACTGCACCTACGGTGACACACAACAGCAACGACGACAACAATGCGGCAGCTGCTGCTGGTGGTGGTGCTGCTGTTGCTTCTGGTCTTACTCCTCTTCATTCTTTTTCCTATGCATCCAATTGCGAGTCGTGCTCGTAGTACTGAATCTACAACAGTAGCAGAGCCACCACCAACCACGACGACAACGACTGCTGCTGCTACTACTGCTTTTGCTCCTGCCCCTCCTGCTGCTCTTGCTGCTGCTCCTGCTACCTCTCCTGCTGCTACTGCTGCTGCACCTGCTGCTGCACCTGCTCCCGCTCCAGATGCTACTGCTGCTGCTACTGCTACAGCACAACTGCTGCTGCTACTACTTCCACTGCTACAGCTACTACTACGACTCCTCCTCCTCCTCCTCCTACTCCTTGTCCTTCTTCTACTGCTGCTACTCCTCTTTCTCCTCCTGCTTGCACGCTACGACTTGGACTACGGCCACGACTGCCCCTGCTGTTCTACTCTGCCGAAGCGCGGAGGCCGCGGCCTCCGGCAGCGTCTGCGCTCTGCGGCGGCTCCTGAACTTCGGGGCCGGCATCTTAGGATGCTGTATGAATGCGATCTGAAGTCGTGTCACAGTGTCTTTTAACTTTAGGATAGATACTGGTCCTAGACAAGTGCATATAAAAAGACCCTTAAGACCTGATACTGATGGGCTTTGAAACCGCTCTCGTTGCCGCAGCCACTGAGGCATCGCTGGTTTCGGCAGATACTGTTCATGGCGGCCCCCTACTCAGACGAGCATTCTTGATGTGTCCCTCGTGTTCTTCTAGGCATTTGGGCAAAGGCGTGCCCTGCAGCTTTTATCACGGCGGATGTGACTTCAGTCTGTCAGAGACGCAATGCGACTGCAAGTCCTTTAAGTTATTGTAGCACACCCAGCAGAACGAAGTGACGATCAGCCAGGCATAATGACGAGTTACAAGGCCTTTCCATTAGTAGTTGCTGGCAGTAGCACTCATTGTCCGTGAAGCCTCGTCTTCCGATTGAAGATGAATGGCGACACGGAGGGCACGTTGCTGCCTGAGCAGTGCCAAGGCCGGGAATTCGGAGCAAAGACGGCAAAGCGCATGAAGACATGTGTTTGTTGGCATGAAAGTGCTTTCCAGGTGCGGCAGCTGTTGATGCCACGCTGCTTCCCCAGTCTGTGGATCCTAGCCCGGCTGCTGCCCCTAGCTCCAGTCCTGCTGCCCCTGCTGCTCCCGCTGCGCCTGCTGCAGTGGCAGCGGTGGCCGGTTCGGACTCCGAGATCTCCTGGAATCTGACGCAGTCCGACCCACCCCCAGGGGCAGATGCCACCTTCTGGCCTGAGCAGAAGCAGTTGGAGCAGAAGAGCCGGCAGGAAGCGAAGAAGGACCTGAATGACCTGACCTCCCCTCCGGAGCGGGAGCCCAGCCCGGAGGCCGACGCGTGGGCGGCGGGGCTCCGTGGGGGCTCCGAGGACAACGCCAGCGCGGACCCTTTGGTTTTCGGCAAGCCAAAGCCGCGTGCTCGCAAGCCCAGCAAGGGCGAGGCCACGAGGGCGCCAGAGATTGTGCTTGTACAGCGGGAAGAGCTGCAGGCGGAGGTGAACTGCTGGGAGGCTGGCCTTCGTGGTGGTGAGGAGAAGATGGACGCGATGGTTTTTTCCAATCCCCATTTCCGTAAAGGCAAAGACGGCAGGGAAGCCAAAGCAGAAGCTCGGCCTCCGCGCAGCCCAAGCAAGCCAAAGGCCCTGCAGAGTCCGATGGATTCACCGGTTCGGCCCAGGAGTCCGGCCCTGGCCGCACCAAAGCCCAAGGCCTTGCGCTCTCCGCAGCCTTCGGCCAGGCTGGGAAGGGTGATCCGTGACGTCCTTGATAGTGGGGTTCGCCTTGGTGGCTAGGCCGACTAGGCTTGTCATGCTGTATCATGCTGTCTTCCTGTTCGTGGCGCTTCGTGGCACGTGCGTGGCAGGTCAGCAGATCGCGATGTGCCGCCGACGCAGATGCGGCGAAGTCGCTCGCAGCCGCCTGACCCTGCCAGGCAGATGCCTGAAGTTCCGCGGCAACGTTTGTCTCAACCAAACGCAGATCGCCCAACACGAGGTCCAGGCCAACTGCCACAAATCGAGCCCAATGATCAGACGCGGGGCGTGAGGTCTGTTTCAAGGGCACCGCCGGAGGCCACGCCATCCCCGCCCAAGCCCAGTCGTGCGCAGTCTGTCAGTGCTCCACGGAGGGTCGCTTCCAAAGAGGAGGGTGGGCGCCAGATGTTCGATAAGAACGAGCTGAGATCCATGCACAAGTCCATGTTCGAGGCTGCCATCGCCCGACGACGATCGCAACTGCTATCCAAAGCTGATGCAGCTGAGCAGTCGGAGCTGGAAGCCACCCTTGCTGTGGTCCAGGTCTACATGCGCAAGAGGCCGATTTCCGAAAAGGAGTCGCAGGTCCGAGGGGACTACGATGCCCTTACTGTAGTGCCAAGAACACCGGTCTCGAAGGAGGTCGTGCTGCACAATTGTCAGTTTCAGGCAGATCTGAAGACACCTTTCATTACCCATGCGCACTTTGGGTTCGACTGCGTTTTTCCAGAAGAGTCTTCCAACGAGGAGGTTTACGCCCAGACAGCCGAGCCACTGGTACAGATTGCCCTGAACGGTGGCATCGCCACCATGTTCATGTTTGGTCAGACAGGTAGCGGAAAAACGTTCACCATGACTGCCATTGAGGAGTTTGCGGCGAGAGACATCTTTGCCAGAACTGCAGAGGCTGCAGACGACTTCATGTCTCTGCAATTCTTCGAACTGCGTGGAAACCGCTGCTTCGACTTGCTCACCTCTGCCGCCGCCGCGCGAGACACGCGTGCGGCGGCGCGAAACCGCGGAGCCCAGGCTCCGGAGCTGCGGCTAAGAGAGATGAAGGACGGAACTTACGTGGCGGATGGGGCCCTGGTCATGGGCCCTACGTCTCCGGAAGACCTCTGCACCTGGATGCGGAGAGCTCACGCCTGTCGTGCAACTTCAGCTACGGAGGCCAATGATGTGAGCTCGCGAAGCCATGCCGTTTGCATGCTTCGCTTTGCACAAACTGGTGGCCAGCTCCTCCTGATCGATTGTGCCGGCACGGAGCGAAGGCAACTCGGAAGGGAACAGCTTTGTCTGGGATTGTCTCACGACATTGGATGGGGGCTGTTCTGAATCATTCCGAACCCTTTCATTTAAACTGTACCTTTACCTTTGGAACAAGCCCAACACGAGCTCCAGCCCAGGAAGGATGCCATGTATCACTCCAAGGAGCGACAGCAGGAAGGAGCGCCTTCGCTTTTCTAGCCTTACTGGCCCCTACTACGTAGCTTGCGTGAGGTCTGTCCTGCAATGTACCTGGATGAGTCAGGTTGAGGATGTCGTCGTTGTTGCAGTCCTTGCCATTGTCCTTGTCCGTCTTCTCCTTCTTGGTGGTGATGGTGCAATAGGGGTGGTTGTTCTTGTGGTTTCAGGGGCTGTTTACTGGACAAGGGCCTCGTTCGCCAATTCCGATGGCCTGTGCGAGCTCTGTGGCGCCCAGGCGGAAATCAACGCCTCGCTGCACGCCCTCAAGGCGCCGGGCTTCGTCAATAGCCCTGCATGGTTTGTGGAAAATATGTCGAGAATCATCTCTGATGTTTCCGATTTTGAGAACTTTGATTCTTTCAGTCATGGATCTTGCCACCCGAAGGAGTGCATCCGATACTTCACCTCCCAGGGCTCCGTGCCATCGCACATCTTCCGCGCTTCTTCGCTCACCAAGTGCTCCGGCTCTTAACTGTCTTGCCAGATAGCCGGAGTTCGGTAAACCTACCATTGATGCGCTTGGCCGAGTTCCTGCTGTGCTCAAGGATCCTGGCCGAGTCCTTCCTTCGCACACGTGCAGCTCGCTTGGCAGCCCCCCGTCTAATGGGTGTGCCCAGCCCAGGGGACAAGGAGTATGAGCGGTGTGCCCTCGCACAGGGCTGTGGTGTTGTGGACAAGTCACTGTCAATGTGTGCAGCACTTGCTGTAAAAATAACACTTCATGGGCTCGATGTGTCGTTTGACCTCATTGTTGCCTCGAGAGACCTGATGTTTGTAGCCCGGTCAGTGGAAGCACTCTAATTGCTTTGGGCCGTGCGCAACATGAACACTTTCATAACGGGGTGGCCGAGGTTATATGCACGGCCTCACCTTGCGCTTCAGACACGGAGCACACACTGTCTACACTGCGGACGGGTGTGCCTCGGCAGAGAAGGGACACACCGATGCAACGTGGTAAGCCAAGACGCCAGCAAATCCTACTTCCAGTAGTAGCAATCAGCTACATCAGCGCAGGTTCGGAGAGTCCTACACATACGTGCCTGCTTTCTGCCCGAGAAACACTGCATCTGAGAATGTGATTCCTGATGGGCTTAGCTGATAGATATCGTCTGCAGGCTCTGAGCTTCTCACTCATCACACCAAAACCCTTCAAAGGGGACCCGATCACAGAACCCTAGAGTCCCTAGAGTATTATCTCCTTAAGGGAACTCTCGCCGATCTCGCTTTGGCGGCGGAGGTTTCGCTCTGCACCGCGGGCTCCGAGCGAGAGGATCGCGAGCTGATCCTGGAAGGCTTCGGCATTCTAACATCTGCCAAAATATATGGCTAGTTCTCTAAATTAGGGTCCCTTTTAGGGCCCTTTTTTATAAGGGTGCCGTACTATATTGGGAACCTAAAAAGGGACCGTACTTTAGAGAACTACC